TTTTTCATAAAGAAATGATATTGTGAAATGATGTTGATATGTTTTAAATTTCACTCAAGTGTGTTTTTGGCTCCATACCCCGACTTTTAATTCAGTAAGATTGTCAGAAGAAAACCTCGTATCTCCATTTTTGTTGTTTTCAATTTTTTACACTATTCAGAAATGCCAGCTGGTTCTTACATTCTCTCAATATTTCATAATAAATGGACCAGTAGAAATGGTCTAAAATCACTTAAAAATGAACTTACATTGAAAGTTAATAAGGTTTTTTTTCCTTCTCCTGTAAAGTTACTGTTTTGGAGATACAAATTTTTCTTCCAACATTGACAGTATGCACAGACGTTCTATTAGGGGTAGAAAATGCATCTGATCTGAAAGAACCAATTCAAGCATTTTTATAGTATTCAATAAAGTATGCACTTATTTTTTCTCCAAAATATAAAAGTGGTCTATTTTCCATACATTCCACTAATCTATTGCTCTTTGGGTCACACTTGTGTCTTTTTTAAAATTCAGAATTCAGAATCCATAATCATTCAGAATCACGCCAAAATAAATCACAGTGCAGTTTGAGATTTGATGATACATTAAATCATTTTCTAAAGAAATCAGATTGAGCTGTTATAAGGTCAAACATTTACAACCAGTGTTTTCTAGCTGCATTTACTGTAACAGTTTCTGCTTCCTCTCTTCTCAGGAGAGACATCACACCAAGATCCAGTATCAGCTGAAGTCAGAGCGCATTTCTCTGGCTCAGGTCTTCAGTAAGATGGAGCAGGTGGTGGAGGTGCTGAGCATCGAGGATTACTCAGTGAGCCAAACTACTCTCGACAACGTGAGTGTTGAATAACTACTGCATTCAGACTTATAATGAGAATCAAAGGACTGAACATGAAGTTTCCTTTTTCCTGGCTTGATAAAGGTTTTACATGTTGTTTCTCTTAAAGAGGTTTAGCCTTATGGATGCAGACTGTGACATCTTGACCAGCGTTTAGTCAGGATGAAAACTTTTCATCTCCTCTTTTTCCTCAGGTTTTTGTGAACTTTGCCAAAAAGCAAAGTGACAACCTGGAACAGCAGGAAAGTTCGCCCTCTAGTGGAGGTCAGTCGCCACTGCAGCGTCTACTGAGCATCCTGCGACCCAGGCCGGCTAATACAGAACTGAGCGCTCTGGTCAGTGAGGAGCCAGAGGAACTGGAGAGTGATGATGATGAAGGACTTATCAGCTTTGAGGAAGAGAGGGTAAGACTACTGTTTCATTTACATACACTACAGACCGAATGTATAGAAGCAAGGAGGGACTTTAGTTTTAGAAATGTTATTTTGCCAACAACCCACTGTTGCTTATGAACTGCCCCAATGACCATTTTCAATGAATTATAAAATGAACACAGGTGATTCAGTTTATCAAACCTTCAGGAGCATCTGAATGTGAGAATTTGGTGGCTCAAATAAAGAATATGCTTACTGCGAACATAAATCAAACCCTTTAACTAAAAGGGCCCTTGTATTTTTTTTACCCCTGAGGTTTACTTATAACATTTGTGTGGTATTATGTACCAAAAACACTTTTTACATGACCATTTTTCAATCTTTCTTAATCCATTAAAATTAAACAGGCTGTTTTCTGTTACTGTGCATTTAAAGGAATAGTTTGCATTTAAAGGATTTTACACTTTTACACTACAGTTTTACACTTCCCCAAGATGTAATCGATCAGCCAAGACACGTTTGGTGTCCAAATTTTTTGCTTTTTTTAGTTTAGCACTGAAGCTCCAATGTTAACATATACTAGACCTCAATAGTCACCCAAATGACCCGAATTGTAAAAATGCATCCCCAAGACGTCTGTCAAACTGCTGAAAACGACTCTGGGCCTTCACTAAGGTCACACAGACTTGTCAACGTGTTTCAGGACACAATATGGCTTACTGTGAACCATAAACCTGAACAAAACTTCACTGCAACAGCCAGCAGCTTCAGACAACATCAGGGCTTGTATTCACAAAGCAGGGCTGATCTTGGATCAGATTCTGCTGTATTTATGATAATTATTGTCATAAATACTTATTATAGATCAGCACCTTTACTCCTGAGGTGTTTTGTGAATACAGACCATGTTCTCTAAATTGGCCACCTGTGGTTTTATTCAAGAGATGTGCAGTTTTTCTAGTTTTGCACTGCAACAGCGGACCTAGTACAGAGCCCTGCTGAACACCACCAATAAAAGTTGTGCTTTATGGCGTCCTAATCTAACGCTATAGCCACACGTTAATGTATTAGCTGCAAGCTAATACACAAGCCGCAAGCGAACATGCTATTCATGATACAAAGATATGATACACTGCAATACATTGTATTGTTACATTCCCATCAGACAATATGAATGACAGACAATGTGTTATTTTCTTTCTTTTATCTTTAGGTGCAGTTATCCTTTAACACAGATACTCTCTGCTGAAGCAGCAGCTACTGTGACGGAGAGAAAGGTAACAAACAAAAGCCTCAAGTAAAGACTTCAGCTTGACCAGTGAGAGACATTCCTGAGCTGAGGAAAAGGTCCTTCTACCAGGCCTTATGAAGAGATGTGCAGTTTTTCTAGTTTTGCACTGCAACAGCGGACCTAGTACAGAGCCCTGCTGAACACCGCCAGTACAAAGATGTGTTTCAGTGGAAGGCACGAATACTCAGTGCCTGGGAGTTACAATAAGATACCAGATCAGAGTAAACTGATGTGGTGCACAGGATAAGACTCAGAGAAAGCCCTGGGTAAGGCCCGCCCACTGCTATAAAGAACGCTTGAAGTTTTGTTGTAATTGTGTTTTGATTTTAGAAAGAAGCCTGCTGGATGGGATTAAAAGAGAATGTATTTGTTGAGTGGACACTTGGTCAGATTTGAGTTGTTTTGTTTTTTTGTTTTTTTACATTGAAGTAAACAGACTAAAAGATACTGGATTTAATTACATGTTCATGCTGTTCTGAACTAGTGCTTTACAGCTGTTGATGTCATCAGGTAACATATCATCCCCTATAAGGTACGACCATTTTGGGTTCCGCCTTTGTACCATATGTTATTTTTATGACTCGGTTCTGTTTATTGTTCTGTTGAAACCCTGATGTAACTACATGTCTTTTTGTAAAGTTGGACCTAATCTTTGTTAATATGTCGAACCTGCCTTGAAAGCATGCTATAGAGTCAAGCCTGTGGTATGTCCTATATTTTTTTGTTGTCTGTAGATGGAAGAATGATTTATTTTCCCTACTGAGATGTTTTTGAAGATATATGTGATTCTTGTGAACTGTCAAAGAATGCTGACGTACAAATGCACCTTTACAGGAGCCGAGTTTAGGTATGAAATGTCGAAAAACTGACTTGAGATGATTATATGGCCTTCAGTCGAATTGGTCAGAACCAGCCCCGAAAGAGAGATCACCATGTTTAAGAGGATTGACCACGTAGTGAATGTAAATGGCATGAAAATGTTTTGCACAGATCGGTGCCTCCTGATCAATGGGGTATTTTTTCCTATGTAAGAGACGAATGGAGCACTTTCTATACTTCTAAGTTTGACGGATTCTGTAATTACGGGCTACGGAAACTTGTGTTATCCTCACTTTTAGGTAATGTGTTTAAAAAAAACTGCATTGGGCAGATGCAAGCTCCTATGCGAGATGTCAATGTACAGTAAATGTTCGAAATAACTGTTTCGCCATCACTGTGAAGCCAAAGGTGAACTTTTGAGTCACTATTAAAAAAAAAAAACAAACAAACATAGATTTCAGGACCTTAACAGGAGCTTACAGGTTTTTTCTTGCGTTTTGTTCAGGAGCCCATCTGGGACGTGTTTGTGATTATTTGATAATTCTTCTCTGTAATTAATTTTAGCAAATTTATTGTAAAAAGTGTCCTAAAAAGTGAAAAGATGTGTTTTTTTCCTCCAATGGTTTGAAATAATTTGAACAGATGTCCTGACGTGTCCGGGATCGTATTTGCTGTAAGTTCTATTTGATCCGTGCTATAGCGTATTGACAGTCTTAAACGCTGTTCAGTGTGTGGCTCATGCCGTGCTTTTTGATTTTTAGCTTATAAAGATGGTTTGCGTTCTTCAAAACTAAGGCAGAAAGAGATCCTAGCTTGTGAATACAATGTTCTCTATTTTCCTAGCATATGAGGAAGAAAGGACTTGCTAGAAGTGAGTGAGGGTGGCCCCCAAGAGCAACTTTGTGTTTTATTTTTGTCCATGTGAAATGACCAAAGGGAAAATCAAGCATATTTTTAGATGTACGAGCTAAATATGAGTTTGCTACTCACAATATTTTGTTGTATATAAGAGTCAGATGTTCAAATCCATTGATTAATCACACTTCAGGGCACTGCGAGTTGCATCTAACAGCAGAACTAAAGCATATTGATGTTAGGGTCAAAGACACCAGCAACCAATGAGCTTGACTGCATATCAGAGAAAAGTGCACTGAATTTATTTGGAAGATGGGTTAAGAGAAGAATCAGTTTTTAACATGTGAGCAAGTGCTTTTGAACATCACTTATGTGTACTTAAGTACTTAGACATGCATATAGTTATTTGTTTATAATTTCTTTTTTCATGCATTGCAACTTCATTTGAATCCCTGTTCAAATGAATCCCCTCGTAACAGACTGACTTGACTTTTAAGCTTGTTTCTGATTATTATGTTTCCATACTCTTGTGATGAGGTGTTCAGGTGTTTTTAATATGAACTGGAAAAAAAAAAATAATAAAATAAAATTGTTGAATTGTGTTGGTCTGGAATATTTGGACGTGTTTTATGCAGCACCAAAACATGGAGAGTAAAGGTGTAACTATTTCAATTAAAAAAATTAATATTTGGAACACTGTACTGAAATTTAAAAGCCCTCGTCGCTTCTGAGGGTCTCATTTGCCATCTTTTGTGGAACACATTGTCAGTCGACACATTTACATGCACTTGGATCATCAGATAATGGAAAACTAAGGGTCTATATGAGTCAGTCAATAATTAGATTTCTGCTTTGCGACCGAAGTTCTTGTAAACGCATTAAACGAATTATCGGCAAGATCTGATACTCTGCAGTTATTGGATGGTTATCTACATGTAAATATACTGAAAATAAACCTAGCACCTTGGTGCCTCCTTTCGGAGTAAAGCGTGCAGAGAGGGGCGGGGCTTAAGCTCTGCACACACCCACACTCAAATGACTGGGTGTTTCCTTTGAAGCTGCTTATGAATTCTAAGGGTTTGCAAATTTTCAAATAAAATAACAAAACATCAAAAACGGTACCGAGTCTTGAACACTAGCACAGAAAAATGCATGTTACAGGCCTAATATGCAATACCGGCTGCATCCCAATCAGTGGCCTATAAGCAAGATATCCAGGAGGGCTGATCGTGAATAAATACTGATCAGACTTGGCGATATTCAGAGGTCTGCCCTGCAAGACTAATAATATTAGCTGTGTTTAAACAGAATACTGTAATACAATACTGCTTTATTATTTCTTCAATTTAGTCTAGGTGGCCTGTTAGCTGACCCAAAACATGCTTGTGAGTTCAAACTGGAAGCAGGATACTGCTACCTAATCCTAATGCACAACTGTGGGATTTGTCAGAATACAGGCAGGAAAAAAAGGCTGTAAGTGCTCCAATTTCATGATGGGCTGCTGCACATTGCACAGCTGTTCAAATGTACCCTACAAGATGGGTAATGTGATTGGTTGATAAGATCCTAACTATTCACTACCCCCTCCTGTTTATAATCCACCTGTGCTCTTATGAAGATAAATAGCACTCCTGTGCCCTCACACTACACAGCAGTGAAGATGGCACCCCTCACCATATAAACACACTGATTTAGAATATTTTAAAAAAATAATATGTTTATTTAGACATATAGTTAAAATTTTTAAAAAGCTTACTTCATAATTGGAATATTCCCACAAAGATATAGTTCATAAAAACAGTCTATAGTGTTAGTGTTATGTATTGGTTAAAAATAGATTGTATTAACTGCAGTGATAGTGTTGGTGGGTTAAAACTGGAACATTCATGTCACGTAATTATTAGCTTCAGGAGATTCATGTGCGCTGACCCTATGCGTCATCTCCATCGTCAAAATCTACCCCTGTAGCAGGCCGCTTCCTGCGAAAACAACCAAAATGGACAATGATGAGTGATCCTGTAGCAACTCTATTATGAAATTGGCTACTATATGTAATAATCAGCATGTTGTCACCTTCTTGTTCCTGGGTTGATGAGTGAATCCCCTGGAAGGCGTTTCCTTACAGCTATTGCTGGACCATTGCACTGGTTCCTAGGTTCAAATCCTAAAACAGAAAGCTACTGTTATTCCTTGTGTGCTTAGACATGGCTAAGCAGGACAAAGTGATAAAGCCATAATGTTAATTGGGTCCATATCCTACACTTTTTTATTTTATTTTATTTTTTTTATCCCTGCCGTCCTTTCATGGGATTTACACTAAAAACTTGGTACATAAACCCACACAGTTCATCGTTATTAATTTTAAATGACTCACTTTACATCTTAGAACTAAACTTGAAACAGAAAGTCTGTTTTAGTTACTGTGACTGATATATGTAAACAACCTCTGTTCTGATTGGTTCACAAGTATTGCGCCTCATTCAAAAAGCAGCGTGAGCTCCTTATAACTTCAACACGAAGGCAGCCTAAACTGCTGTAGGCTGAATAGGCAGATGTATGAAATAAATGCTTGATTTTTGTGACATCACAAAGACAATGAGCACAAAATTAGCTTTTTTTCACAGCTAAGTTTCTGTACAGTGGCGGTATAGACTGGGGAGCACAAAGTATGCTATGAGACCTTAACAGTTTTTAGATGTTACATCAAAATATTCCAAAACTGTGAGGAATATTAATTTTTTCACAATATTGGCCCTTTAATTGTACATGACTAAATCAGTATATAAAGATAATGTCATTACATACCGGTGCTCTTTTTCTGTGGGCTCTTGACAGGGCTTGATAAAGATGTGGCTCCTATTATTTGGGCACAAAAGCAACAGATATCAAAGCTTTAATTCTGAAAATACCATTACAGCAATATGGCCAGCTTTTGTTTACCTGTGTCCTCCTGAGTCAAGCTGTCTGCCATTTTAAAGAGCAGATCTTTGAGCTCTGTCCTTCCCTCATGATCTGCCAGTTTGGAGAAAGACAAATTCAAGTCTGCAGGTTCGGAGCCCAGGTGAAGCACAGCGCCGTCCTCCTGCAGGGAGACGAATGCACTGCCGCTCCTGCAAGCACCCCTGCCACCAGGACACAAAAGGACAACATCAGAGCAACATCAACATAAAAGCACTCATCAATACACTAAGACTAATGTAATAGTGCTCTTTTTCAGTAAAACAGACAGCCTTACTTAAGTTTCAGAGCATAATCCTCTGTAGACTTCAAAGAAAACTTCTTCTTCTGTAAAGAAATAACCAGGATTGTGGTTGAGTGTGGAGGATATGGCATAAGGTACTCAGGCACATGTTTACAATGCACAATATGTATTATGATATTAGTTGGAATGGCAAAATGCATGAGCAAAACCGCAGCACCACACTTAATAAAACATTTTTTTTTAAAGTTTAACATTTAAAATAAATATTTTTTCATTGCTTGCAAAAATAGACTATTTAAAAAGAAAGAGGATGAAAAATCTAACAATTATTAAGAATAAATTAAATAAAATATAATAAAGGAATACTCGGCTGACATCTAATCAGCTACTTGTTACTTGTTAAGGATGGATGATATGGCAAAAATGTAACATCACAATATTTCAAGACATTTTTACAATACGATATGCATCATGATATTTACTTTTTATGACTTCTGATAAGTTGAAAGAGCCAGCAGTGCCACATAAAAAAAATCTATTAAAGACTATGAATACAATGATGTTTATTCAGTGTATCACATACCATGCTGCACTAAATCCATTTAAACAGACCTGATTATGCTCTCTTTGTAATAAAACATGCTAGTTAGTGTTCTTTAAGTAATGATGATATCCACATTATGCTGAAAAAAGAATACTGTAGAGTAATAGAACACAATAACAATAAATATAGTCATATATACTTCTACTTGTTCTATATATATACTTCTTGTTATGCATATACACTGGTTGCTGTTGTTGTTTACTGATTTTCTATAATAGGGCTAAATCTGTCTTTTTACAATACATGCAGTTGTTCTGTATTCTAGAAATACCAGACATACGCATGACATACAATTATCACAACAATGATAACATATTATGTTGCCCACCCCTACTGTACAGTGTTTTAAAGGGGAATTACAACCCCAGTTTACAGTTTGCAAAATTTCTGCATAATTCATTCATTGACATTCAAACATATTCAAAGTAGTTTGATATGAAACAGTTATTTATAGAGAGCATTACTGTCTCAGATTTCTGGTGGTGATAGGAAACAGGGCCTACATTCACAAAGCTTCTTAAATTACGAGAGCTGATTGAAGATCTTTTCTTGTAAGCAAGAACATCATAAATAAGACATGAATCTGATCTAAAATCTCCTAAATCAGCACTCCTACACCAAGAAGCTTTGTGATTTCAGGCCAAGTATTTAATACAACTCAAATATTGCCATTTCATTTACGATTCAAAATAACGAGTGAATCTACACATGTCTTGTGAGTTATATGTGGAATTTTGATGATGGTAAAATAGTGGTAATTCAGAAAAAAGTTTTTATTGAGGTCTTCGAATGCCTTGCTTGTACCTCTCCACTGTGAATGGATTAAAAATATGTTTTAAACTAAAACATTCTCCAAACTATGGTAAAACAATGTCTCAGACACCATGCAGTGTATTCATGAGCATGTAACTTAATAGCTGTCTGTGAGGGAGCTTTTAGAGGCAGATTCTTCACACGTCTAGTTCCTATTACTGTCACCACCACTGTGAACAACTCCAGTCGATACGTTTCTCTAGAATGAAGACTTTCACATCAAACCACCCAGAATCACTTTATTTACATCTTAACCAAATATTTATGCAGGAATTTTGAGAAACCGGTGGAATTCCCCTTTAATGCATGTTACAACCGGTAAGCATCAATTTGAGGAACTTACAAGCTGGGACAGGCTTTCCTCTGAAAGAACTGCTTTCCAAACATCCAAACCATCGCTCAGTCTACAAAAAACATGAAAATATTCTGATATTAAATAAGCAGCGATGAGCTTCAGCACCAACGTCACCCACAGTGTTGACAGTCTGAGCGCTGCAACCGTCACTGAGCTGCACCATCAACTCACCCGATCCTCAGCCCTTCCGCCTTCTTTTGCGTGAAACAGACATATTTGGACTGGTCATTCTTGTCTATCAAGGTATAGAGGACATTTCGGGGCTGAGAAACACTGTAAGCCATCTTCAAACGGCGCAAACACAGAAACACTAAAAAAAAACTACAGAGACTTTTTTAAAAAGCGGATGCCCGGAAGTTAAACCTCAACGCGCAACACGTACTTCCTGTTTTGAAGAGAGCCGATTACAAATGAAAGGTCGCCAAATAAAAAGCCGTCAGAGCTTCTGAAAAAGTGTTCGGTAAATTATTAATTTCTGATTTCTTAGCAAAAATGGTATTTAATAAACAAAATACGGGGGTTTATCTTCGTTGGTAAGTAAACAGAGATGTTGTATTCAGTGCGGTGTGCTAAGTAAGTAGCTGAAAGTGGCGAAGGTACTTTTTCAAATTTTTCCGTTCCACCTTAAATGGCACACTGGCGGCTCAACCGCTACACCGTTTAAGGTGGAACGGAAAAATTCGGAGAAGAAGCTGGCGAATAGGAAGTTGGGATACAGACACGTGTGCGTAAATCCCGTAAATCTGCTCGCATTCACTTTGGCTCGTTGTGCTGCGGTTTGTGCAGAGCTGAGGGGTGTTTCTGGACTCTGGTCACTCTCTGTAGTATGACCAGCCTGCTGAGATGGGTTGGCAGTCTCGGACCCGCAGTCTGCAGGTGTTTGACACGGAGCTGAGTGCCGACAGTGTGGAGTGGTGTCCGCTCAACCAGTGGTCACATATTCTGGCCTGTGGGACTTACCAGCTACAGAAAGATGAAGGAAAGGTGAGTTTGAAAAGCTGGAAATGAGAGGTGGAACTGTTGGTCGGTGGGAACGGAGTTCCTATATATGACACTAATAATCAGAGGTTAATATGGTCAATGCAAAAACCTGAAGTCAGCTTCTTACTCGCCAGCTTGTTTTTCGAATTTTCCCGGTCTACCTTAAACGGTGCCGCAGTTGCATTCTTGAACATTTAGAATGAATGAATGCAACTGCTGCGCTATTTAAGGTGGCACGGGAAACTTCCACTAATAAGATGGAGAATAGGAAACCAACTTCAGCCTCGTGGTGGTTGATACTACTATCAACGCTGCTCTGTTTACTTTTCTGACTAATTCAATAGTTAAGATGTAAACAAAATCACTCAGAGTAGGTTGATGTAAAATGGTTGATTGTAGAGAAACTTAGCCACTCCAGTTTCTACACAGTATGAACAACACAAATATGGCCATTTTATTTTCTATCCAAAGTGCCTCGTGAAGTTGTAACTTCTGAGTTTTTATATGTGATGATTATGGTTATTATTAAAATTGTACTGAATCTAACCAAATCTATTATCTTATTGTAATATTTATCCTTACAATGGCCTGCATGTATCTCTCCAACACAAATGTGGTTTTTAAAAATACCTTTGTTAAACATTTCACCATTTAATACATTTTTTAAAATAATTTTTGAAAAAATGGTGGACTTCCCCTTTAATTTTGTAACGGCAGTATGCAAATTCCAGTAAACACAGATGTAGATTTTTACTGTCACAGACCATAGAAAAGTTTTTTTTTTTTTTCACTTTTTTAATAGAACAATTTGATGTACTATGTAAACAAGTTTAAAATTGTACCAGATGTGCCAGATCAGACATAGAATCTACAGTGGCCCATTTTGAGTGAATTGTTTTTGTGAAATCACAGAAACCAACACATTTACATATGTGGGTAAATGACAATGAAAGGACATGATTAGCATTTTTATATCTGCATGTATATATTTGCATTTATATCTATGTGCATTTCATATCTTAAATATAGTTAGTGTTATGAAGACTTCAACTGTCTACTTCGGTTATCAAAACTGTACTGGTCTGGTTGTGCCATCTGACTTTTCAGACTAATTTCACATTAAACAGGCATCTACGTAGACCCTGTAGAAACCTAGCTCTTGAACTTCAGTTTATACTTGCATTTAATTCAAATAAATAAATATCATTATAATCATTACACATTTTCATGGTTTTCCTGAGCTCATACCACTTGACATTGTAAACTGAACCATGACTGAAAAATGACATTTTTCCAAAACTTGTGAAAGAGCTACTGACTTTGGCATTGCACCATGAAGGTCACTTGGGGGTCTTCTTTATGATGCAGCACCCTGGCTCCTCTTTCTAAAAAGCATACAGATCCTTCGTTTTCGGTTGTGCTGCCTGACATAAAAGAAGAAGGAACTTGTGGACAAATGTTGGTCAGTGAGCTGTGTAATTTTAAAGGTGCCTTATTTTGCAACATGGTTTTTTATTTACTAAGTTTTCAAACAAAATCATGCCAACATATTTTATTTAGAATTTTATATAACTAACATACCTTTTTTGATAGTTTACACATATGGTTGGGCGGTCGCACCACCTGAAATTTTAGACTTTTGGAGGTCTTGCTATGCATCTATGTTTGCACTTGAAGGTTTGCAGAACTGGAGTTGGACCTATTGATTATAATGTTTTAGCCATTGCTAAAACATGTTAAAAACTGGACCAATATTTATTAAAGAAATCCTCAAATTGGTGTATGTACATCTTTTAATTAAGTTGTAATTCTTTTTATCACTAAACATGTTAGGAATGAAGGAAAAAGGTATCACAGCTCAAATAATTGCTTTGTTCCAAAACATAAAGCAAGAGTGTTAATAGAACACACAGGTTGTTTGACTTTGGCATGCTGTGATATTCAGGATATTATTATTATTATTATTATTTTTATTTATTTATTTATTTATTTATTTAACCATGAGTAATTCTGTGATATAGCTTAAAATATGGACTGTTGCGAGACACAGTTTTAGTGACAGAAGTAAGCATAAGTAGAGTTCTTTAAACAGAGGGTCTCTGATGGGCCTGTGCGAGTGATTCATATTCATTAAGCTGCTACTCTAGTTTTCACATTTGTAAAAACCTAATTCTGCCTGATTTTTCTGTTTAATGGTCCTGTTTGCCCTGTTATCTTTAGACAGGAGTGGAGTCCACGACTCCAAGCCGAACTGGCCGACTGTACCTGTTCCAGTTTAATTCGCAAGGAACTTTTACCCCACCGCTAACCGAAATCCAGAGAATTGACACTCCAGCAATACTAGATCTCAAATGGTAAGTAGATATAATATGTGTTGAAATAAAATATTACATTAATTCACTTTAAACACTCTGGTTTTCTTTTGTGAATTGGTGCTCTTTTAATTATCAGGTGTCATATACCAGTGTCCGAGCGTCCTGTGCTGGGGATGGCCACAGCTAATGGTGAAGTACAGTTGCACAGGCTCATTGATGCGCAGGTAAGCTTTTGACATGTACTTTGTAGAGTGATTGAAGAACGCCCAACATGACTGCTGACTTTCTCATCCATTCAATGTCTTTTTTTTCTATTTCTGACTTGCCTGATGAGTAGCAGGGCAGCTGTTTGGAGCGTATGTTGAGCACAGAATTGGGCCCTGATAGATTAGCATTGTCTCTGGACTGGTCAACAGGGAGAGGTGAAAGGTAAGAGGCTCTGAGCATTAAAAGCTGTATATATACACACATAGCAGAGCATCCCTCATGTGTGCGTGTGCGTGTGCGTGTGTGTGCGTGTGTGTGTGCGTGTGTGTGTATATATATATATATATATATATATATATATATATATATATATATATATATAATGTGTATTTATTAATATCTATACTATGTTTTTGATGAATTGGTGCATAAAAACACCAAGTTGACAATACATAAACTGTTTTGAAGTTGTTTCTCTTACTGTTTTCTTCAGGAGACTTAGTTGTAACACAGGGTTAAAACTAACCCTGCTGTGTGGAGGCTGTACTGTAGCCCTCACTTTGAGTTGTTTACATGTTTTAAAGCAGTACTTAAGGCCACCAAGAGAGTAATCACATAATAATTAATATGGGTGTGAATTATGTGACTTACACACACATGACTAATCAAAAGACACATATGATGATCATCTTTTTAACAGCATCTGTCTGGAGGACGACCAAAAGTGCTTTTTATTTGAACTTGTATAACTACATTAAAGGTCCATGTTAAGGTTTAGTTTGTTCTCAGCTCTGCTCTGCTCACATCTGTTTATTAGGGTCAGCATCAGTGCCCATATCCAGGAAATCAGATCGGTGCATCAGTAATATCCACAGTATGAATGAGCTAGTGTGAAAAGTTTGTTTTTTCTGTTCACAGCAATGACACACGTTTGGTGTCCAGTGACTCGACAGGCTCTCTGACTGTGCTGTCTCTCGGGGAGGCCAGTTTGAATGCCATTTCCCAGTGGAAAGCTCACGACTTTGAGGCCTGGATCTCAGCTTTCAGTTACTGGGATACACAGCTGGTCTATTCTGGTGAGGCACACATCATTTATAGAATATCAGGGATAAATTGTTATTCTGTCATCTTTCGTTGCAGTGCAACACAGCACTGTCTTTGTTTTATTTTTGTTTATTTGTTTTGCCCTTCATCTTCATATTAAAGGCACTATTAAAGATGTGTAACTCGGTAGCATAATTCAGATAATAATTCAACTGTCCTGCACTGCCTAATCATGTCTGTGTGTTTCATGGTGTCCTGCGTGGTGATAGTGTTGTAGCCACTGCAACCTGAACAACCCTATGACATCATGTCTAGGGTTATCTCTAATCTTAACCCTGGCAGAAGTTGAGCTGTGAATGTCTGTGAGATATCGGATTACGGAGGCAGTGCGGCATTTAACTAGGATTTGTCATTCTTAGTGGCTAACATGAATAGGAATTTGGCCGAAACGTCATGCAAACACCATTAACATTAGCCAGGGCTGAATGATGTAGAGAAAATATGGAATTGAGATTTTCAGGCCAATATAGTGACTGCGATTTGAATTGTGATTGTTTTATAATCATATATTTTATATTTCATTTCTCATATTCTATTTTATTTTAGCTGTATATTAATATATTTATTTTGCCCAGAAGACCAGCACTTCCATTTTTTGTACCTTGAAGCTTGAGCGCTATATGTTGTGTGCTAAACTGTTGGTTGTAATTACGTTGTCATGTAGACATGTCATGTGGTTGCTCTCTGATTGGTCCACGTTTTTCCTTCGTCCCTATGTGTTGCAATTTGGGCTAGAGCAAAAATTGTGGACTGTCTTGAGGGCATCTAATGACCATGTTGGGAACCACTAGCAGGTCACTAGCTCCATAATATGTTAAATATCTCCACTACAACTTAGTTGATAAT